TATATCAATATACATAAATAAAATATCTGGCATGTATGTGGCTGCATCTTTACACTTTACACAGTTCATTCAACAAAATGGAAGTCATATATGTCTCACCAGCAAAGGTAAGCAGAAACTTAAGGGGCAACTGTCATCAAATTTTCTCTTCTGAACGACTGAGTCTGTCACTTAACCTAACTTGATGTAAGTTCGCACAGAACACACAACAGTTGCAGCAGCCGGCAAAGTCTGAACCAATATGGCTGTTTAGACATTTATAAAAAGTGACATGTTCTCACATAAATGAATATGCATAATTTAAAAAGATCATTGTTTTATTAAATGTAATCATTTTTATATGTGGAATCCATTGTTAGGCAAAACACACAGGGAACACCCTATTACTGCAGGCATACTGGCTGCTGTACATGTTGGCAGAGAGCTGGCAGAGATCAGAGATCAGAAGATCTCTTACTGGCCCTGCGCCTCCTTGCTGTAATACCCAGTGGGATAATGACATTTACATGGGGGTTGTTTATTACCATGACCTCTGATAGGCTGCAAAATGTTACAGGGTCTGTAACCCTTAATGCTGCCATGGACTTATGCTGGTAACACATCCTGCTTTCCTTAATCTTTGTATATGTTCACTGCAGAGAACAATTAATGTACAATTAAAGAAGTCCAGTCATTATGAAGTATAAGGAAGAAATGCTCTTTTTTTAAGGCGGATACAGCGTATATATGAAACAAACACATTTTTCATAGGGGTGTATCCAACAGAAGACAAAATCAATCAATTATAGACGTTTAGTCCAAAAAGTATAATTTTATAACATGAAAGGAGGCTTCGTATTTGCTTAAGTCTCTCTTTACTAGAACTCCACAGCACCACAGAAAAAAGAACCGATCAGAAAAAAGTTAGGTACTATAAAACTCCCCTCCCCATACATCATTTCCTCTTTCTTTGCTGCTCCGCATCAGTACAGGTCAGAGTACCACTGCCTCCTGCTATTAATAGTTGGGGGCTTTGGGATTGATTTGTTTATAACCAGCATTTTATGTTTATCTGTCTGGGAACTTAATATATTGTTCTGTAGCTTTATGCCTCATTGTTTGTTTAGATGTAGTGCATTTGGATTCAAGGGGGTCTTGGTGGGCCTTTTCTGCCCTTACTATATCTTTCTTTTCTTCCCCCCCTGCCTCTCTCCCAGAGTGTTAAGGCCAATATGTTCATGTTTTAGGGTTATCACAGCTTTATGATACGTATATAGAATCCATCATTAACTGATATCTGATTCACTTCATGTTGCTTGTGGATAACTGTGCCATGTGTTTGCTTCCTCCAATATTTGCTATAGCTCCATTTTTATATCAGCTTCTGCCCTTTCTATGGCAGGCTATATGTGCCGCCCGGGGCTTTAGTGGAGACTGACTGTCTCATGCCGCCTCCGACCCCCCGGCTCTGGGACCACGGAGTCACCTCCGGCGGCCCTGTTCTTTCCCTGCCGCCCCCTGGGGTACTCATGATCGAGTACGATTACCCGGAGGATGGATTTTCCTGCACATGCGGCTGCTTCCCATGGCTGTCTACAGGTCCAGACTGCGCGTGTCCTACCGTGTGGAGGAGGGGGCGCTTTGATCGCGGCCTCTCCCACGGCTGTACATGGCTCTATGGAGGTCTCTTTGCGGGTTTCTTTTCCCGATGGCTGTCAGGCTCTTCTGCTAGACTTCCTGTAGATATATTGTTTACTAGGGATTGTTTTTTATTGTACCTACAGTCAGTGTAAAACTTGGTTTATTCACTAAACCTTGCATTCTTGGTGACTGAAACAATGAACAAAGTTCTCATAAGTTAACAGCTTGGTTCTCTATTTTATTGAGTGTTTGATTCTCTGTGCTTGCTTTTCCTTTTGTGTTTAATACAAGCAGTAACATATGTCACCATTTTTACACTAAATCATATTACATACAAACATGTTGTGACAGTTTTTTCATGTGACCATATCAGACTGTATATGTTTTCCGTGGCCTTACATATTTTACCCAAACCAACCACCATGGCACCCCATTCTAAGGTATAATGTTGAAGAAACTAGATTGGGATGCAGTTTGGGTACTATTTTATCTGTTTTACACTGGGATTTTTGCAGCATGGATACCCCAGAAACCAGTGGCTGCAGGACGTTTGGGGGACTGCCAGAATCCATATTTTAGTGCTCTTAGCACACTTTCACACTACCATGAGGGTTTAGTATATCGAGTGGGTTGTGCACCTAATTAACTCTAAGATTCTATATATAGATAAAGGGGGCTCTACCCACGCAGATTGGTCCCCCTGTGTAACGGATCGTTTTGCACAAAAGGGGTAAAAACCGTTTAGGCGATCAGCCCCCTTTCCAGAGATACAGGCACAGCTACTGCAGAACACCAAACTCCCGAACTGGATACAAAATAGCACTCCAACTCCCGAACTGGAACCTCCCAAATAGCTGCTAGCAGACGAACAGGAAAAACAGACAATCAGCTTACACTCCTGGCAATCAGTCTCTAACAGCATACAGTGAATCCCCCCAAGAACGAGACAAGGCTCTGTGTTGAGGGTCAAGCAGTGGTCCGAGGTGCTGGCACACCCAGCCTGGCCCCCACCACAGTCTTGCAAATGCAGGACCGCCCACAGGGAGGTACAAAATATCCAGCAACATATTAGCTACAACCCACAGATTCCCTCCCCCTTATCCTGAGAGGTAACCCAATACACATACCTTTTACCACAATGCATCCCGGCCTCCTCCCCTCCGCCCCGGAGACAAGCGAGAAGCAATCCAATTATCTCCCAGGACAGGGACAAGACTCCACCATGCACATGGTGACACAAAGACAGTAAAACACTTTAAAATACATAAAGTCACCTTTTACACATAACACACAGACATTTAACATATCCCCAGATAGCTCAGGTCTGAGTGCACATTATTAAGTGAATGGCGCTCAGACCACACGAATACAGTTTAATCGCCATGGAGCCAAAGTCTTTACAGTCAGTTTCATACGAATGGGCTCCATGGGATTCCTATCTGGGGTATAGCACATTCAAACAAATCTACTGAACCCCAGGCAGAAAAGCACGAATGAAGCTTTTCTGCAGGTAAAAAAAGATGTCTTTTAACAGGGGGCCATAGTCCAAAGGCAGCAGGCGAGCAACCAGGCTTCTCCAATGCAATGTGGCGAGATTGGTCTCGTCACATCTCTCCCCTTTTCCAAACAGACTAACAGGGTATCTGACCCCCTGCCGGTCAGTGCCCTTGTTAGTCCAGCAGCCCACCCACAACAAATAATCAACAGCACAGCCCACCCACAATAAATGGTTACTACACCTGGGTAAAGGAGAAGCTTGTCCATGTCCAGGTGCCTCACCACGGCTGTGCTGGGTACGGGTACGCTGACTTGGTGGGGTGCTGCCTGGGCAGAGACCAGCGGCACTCTGCCTTGTTGCCAGTGCTACTGGGAGGGTAGCCTGGTTGAAGCCTGGTTGTTGGAGGGGGAGACCAACTGTCTCCCCTTTAAATACACAGTCCTGCTGCTGGAGACCGACTGTCTCCCCTTTGGTTACACAGCTCTGCTGCTGGAGGGGGAAACCGACTGTCTCCCCTTTGGATACTCTAAGCTGTCGCTGGGGAGAGGGGTTAACAGGCTCCTCTTCCGATAGAACACTCTGCCGCTGGGGAAAGGAGACTGAGCTCTCTATTCCCTGCCCATTAATGATCCGCCGCTGGGGAGAGGTGGTAGCAAGCTCCTCTCCCATACATACTTTCATCCTCTGTGGAGGGAGACCGACTGTCTCCGTTCCCAATACAGTGTCCTGCTGCTGGGAAAGGGAGACTGGGCTCTCTATTCCCTGCTGGATACTCTGCCGCTGGGGACTGGAGACTGGGCTCCCAATTCCCAACAAATAACACTGCCGCTGGGGAATGGAGACTGGGCTCCCAATTCCCAAAAAATGCCGCTGCCGCTGGGGAGGGAGGACGCTGCTCTCCTCTCCCTGCACTTTACACTGCCTTCCCGGCATATCACTCTGCTGCTGGGGGGCAGGAACAACTACCTCTGCCCCCTGTAACTCAGCCTGCCGCTGGGGAGGGAGGACGCTGCTCTCCTCTCCCTGCACTTCACACTGCCTTCCCGGCATATCACTCTGCTGCTGGGGGACAGGAACAACTACCTCTGCCCCCTGTAACTCAGCCTGCCGCTGGGGAGGGATTACGCTGCTCTCCCTGCACTTTACACTGCCGCTGGGGAATGGAGACTGGGCTCCCAATTCCCGGCATATCACACTGCCGCTGGGGAATGGAGACTGGGCTCCCAATTCCCTGCATATCACACTGCCGCTGGGGAGAGGAGACTGGGCTCTCTCTGTCCCGCCACTGTAGCTGCCGGTGGAGGTCCACCCACCGTGGCAGCTGACCGTCACCCTCTGCCCGGTACAGCAGAGTCTTGAATACTAGACTCCTCATGAACTTCACGGATTTCTCAGCTGGATTAGGCCCGTAGAAGTTCAGCCGCAACCACATCATACGGTCAAATTCCTGTACAGAGTATCTGTACTCCACTGCTGGTTCCATGCTGTTGCTGTCAGGGTCGCTGTACTCAGACATGCGTTGCCCTCAAATTGTAAATCCACGGAATGGTGTCACCTGTAGCTGTCCTGTTGTCTGTGGGAACGATCCCGCCGCTTGCCACCAATTGTAACGGACCGTTTTGCACAAAAGGGGTAAAAACCGTTTAGGCGATCAGCCCCCTTTCCAGAGATACAGGCACAGCTGCTGCAGAACACCAAACTCCCGAACTGGATACAAAATAGCACTCCAACTCCCGAACTGGAACCTCCCAAATAGCTGCTAGCAGACGAACAGGAAAAGCTCCCAAGCAGCTTACACTCCTGGCAATCAGTCTCTAACAGCATACAGTGAATCCCCCAAAGAACGAGACAAGGCTCTGTGTTGAGGGTCAAGCAGTGGTCTGAGGTGCTGGCACACCCAGCCTGGTTTTTATTACAGTCTTGCAAATACAGGACCGCCCACAGGGAGGTATAAAATATCCAGTAACATATTAGTTACAACCCACAGATTCCCCCCCCCTTATCCTGAGAGGTAACCCAATACACATACCTTTTACCACAATGCATCCTGGCTTCCTCTCCTCTGCCCTGGAGATAAGTGAGAAGTAATTCAATTATCTCCCAGGACAGGGACAAGACTCCATTATGCACATGGTGACACAAAGACAGTAAAACACTTTAAAATACATAAAGTCACCTTTTACACATAACACACAGACATTTAACATATTCCCAGATAGCTCAGGTCTGAGCACACATTATTAAGTGAATGGCGCTCAGACCACACGAATACAGTTTAATCGCCATGGAGCCAAAGTCTTTACAGTCAGTTTCATACGAATGGGCTCCATGGGATTCCTATCTGGGGTATAACACATTCAAACAAATCTACCGACCCCTAGGCAGAAAAGCACGAATGAAGCTTTTCTGCAGGTATAAAAGATGTCTTTTAACAGGGGGCCATAGTCCAAAGGCAGCAGGCGAGCAACCAGGCTTCTCCAATGCAATGTGGCGAGATTGGTCTCATCACACCCTGCTTCTGGCAGAACACAACTCCGGTGAGTGGCAGGCTCTGTCTGTGCCCCATTGATTGGCCTGCTATATCTGTGCCCCATTGATTGGCCTGCTATGTCTGTGCCCCATTGATCGGCCTGCTATGTCTGTGCCCCATTGGATTGACCTGCTCTGGCTGTACCCGAAACCCCTTTTGGCCACAGGCCTGGGGGAATATTACTGAGGAAAGCCCAGTACCCACTATTGACACGGCTGCCATATGCCCTCAGGTGACACCGGTATACATGCACTTAAATATGATTGGAAGGGTGAAGGCCCTAAACCTCACGCCCTGAGGACAAGGCTTCTACTAAGATCCCCGGGCGGGCAGCCACGGTTTGCTCCAGCCCGGCGGTGGCACATCTCCACAGAGAGTTTCGTGATGCACATACAGGGACCAGTGCTCAGACACCAACAGGGGAAAACGGTAACCGCTTATCTTTAGCAACTATCCTTTAGCTGCATATCTGGTATCCATTTTGGGTCTGGGTAGTTATTCCTGCGTCATGCTTGGTTCTTGGCCCTTTCATTCTGGTTTACCTGTTTCTTACTTTCCTGCCTGTTGTTTTCCCAAGGTACGTATTTTCCTTTATCGTATCCTTTGGTTTGTTGTTTCTCTGTTCTCTTGTCTTCCCATATCCTATCGCTCGGGTTGTCGAGAGGCCTGACTTGGCCTTCCCCAACTTCCCGGGTTCTTGTGGATCACGGAGAACGTCTCCAGCTTTCCCCAGGCTACCGGCGGTCATCCTGGATCCCGCGCACGCGGGACCTGGGCGGTCCGTTGGTAGATTCAATCATTTTTTCCAGATGTTACATTTTCTCGGCATCTCCTTTTGATTGTTGAAATGGGCACAGCCTGAGGTTAAATACTACTCCGTCTTCCATCAGTCTGGTTTATCCCCAGTTGATCCCACCTCTCAGGGAGTGTTTCAGAGAGAGATCTCGTGGTCAGAGAGGGACTCTCCTCAGGACCTCAGTTCTACACTCATATTTTTAAGGGTGAACCATCGTATTCGCCCAGCCCGAGTCTGAGATGGACTCTAGTTTGGATTACAAGAGGGTGCAGCCCTCCATCACCTCAACCCGAGACTGATGTTTTTATTTACAAGAGTAGAGAGCGAACTCCTCTAATATACTGAACCGGACACTGATTCATTGTTAGAGGGCGCGGCCCTCCCTCTACCTCAGTCTGGGACTGAGATGGATTCAGAGGACATGTTTCGAGTGTGACCCACTCTCATAGAAGGAACCGGACACGGATGTAGACACTAATTTTTGTTATTAACGGGTACGGCCCGCTCATGCTATCAGCCTGATGCTGACATGGAGTTTGGTTACAATATTAGAGAGTGCGGTTCTCTCATGCACTCAACGTGCTACGGTGCGGTCCATTTGTTCATCACACAGGCTTGTACCTGTACAGGACAACAATGATGACATAGAGGGGCGTCCCTCCTGCAGTCAATTCAATATGGAGGTGCCGAGTGTACCGCTGATGCTTAAGCTCTGGTACAGGGGTATAGTACCTCACCGGTTTGCAAGGGAGACGATGCTTCATAACGACTGGGCAAGGGGAGAAAATCCCTCCATAAGAGCTAATGACCGTGCTACCATTTTCATTATAGCGGCCTGCCTGATCATGCAGGGTATACATGTTTAGACAGGATTCCTCTATTTCACCTCCTACAATGGATCTTCTGTATCCCACGCGAGATATACTCACAGAGGTATTACTGGGGGAGATTCCCCGCTTATTTACACACCCCCCGGAGACTTTATTGGGCAGTATAGGGGCTGTTTGAACAGACTATCTTGGGTCCAGCTCCCAGGATTGGGCCATTTTGTTGGTGACCCTATACCATTCCTATTGGATGTACTCCTGTAGACGGTACGGCTAACGGAGGAGCCTCAGTTATTACAAGAGTGCAGGTTTTTGGTATAATCTGCGCTATATCAAACAAGCAATCGCACTCTGTTTAGGTTATGCAGACCATTGCGAACAACTGCGCAGACAGTTTTCCCCATGTCAAGGTGACATGAGATCCTGAGGCCTTCATAGAGCAAACGTGCATGGCTTTGCTCGGGTAACAAGACTGGGGAAGGCCCACAGCCCGGTCTGCAGGTACATCGTATGCATGGATCGCAGAGAAAGACCGGAATACTCTGTCGACTTGGGTTCCCTGGTCATTAACAATCTTGGGATAAGATGACAGGGCTGCCTCTACTCCTCTGAGAACATATCGGGAGAACATGATTTGGATATGGAGGGCTCTCCTTCTATACTCTGAATCCCTCACAGGAACCGTCTTGGTTTTGGGCTCTCGCTAACCCACCTATTCAACTACCATCTAGGAGACCTACTTGGACTCTATGGGGGAACCCGGTGTGTCCCCAGCTCCTACACAGACGTCACAAGTCGAGACGCAACCTGCCGCTGGAGTACTGCTCAGGAGGTGTAGCAGGCTCGGTTATGGCTCCCGGCGTTCTCAAACTGGACAACCCTTGCTGCGGACGGTTGAAACTAGATCCTTGTTTTTTCACTACATCTGCTCTCTGGAGTCACCTGTCGTGAGTGAAGGGACTTTACGTCTTTCCTGCGTGTTAGAGAACGCTATGAGTTCGCGGGACTCCAGGTTAAGAAGGGAGGTATTCCTATATAGGGATGCCTTGACTTCGGTTCTTGAATTCACATTCCTGGGTCCCTTGTCCCACGGCCTACTCTTGGAGATACGTGCCCGGACAGTCAGAGGTAAAGGGACCTAAAGGTCTCACTGTATTATACCCTATCTTGTATATGGCGTGCAGCTCCTACACGAATTTTAACAGGTCGGGCATGGAACAGGATCGTACGAACGAGTAATCGGATTATTTCACTCTCTCACTACAACATGTGAGGCTTCTTCTTAATTATACAGGTCCCAATTACCATTGGAACCCGACCACTTATCACACTTCGACGATGATATATCTGGATGGAAATCTCAACCCCTGTTTACGTTTCCCTCTTTTTGGATATTTCCGGGATTCACAGTTCCCCAGAGTAGTCGACCACCGTTTCACTACACAAGTTCAGTTTGGGACCCTGATTGGACGTCCTTTGGGAGTTCCTTCTCTACCGCAGTCACGGGTTACACAATCCATTTGGAGTACTGGAATCTCTTAGGATACTGCTAGTTTTGACCGCACTCTTGCCTGCATAATAAATTCATTCTCAGGTGAGACCACTCACGGGTAGATCCTGAGGGAACGAAAAGACCCTACTCCGTTCTGTTACTGTATTGGTGGTAGACTTAGACGCATTACTTGAGGTTGGAGATTTGCCTGCAAGGTCACATCATTGGGTGACCCTGGCATAATCGGAGGAGCCATCTTCCACATCAAGTGTCGAGACCTGGTGGCAGTATCTTCTCGCGGCCCTCAGTCCGCAAATGACCTTCGGCATTTTACACTTACAGGAAAATGGCTAATAGGTCAGCTTGGCAGCTCATGGACCGGTTGCTAGGAAACAGGTCGCAACCCCACGTACAAGGAATCTAACAGCGGATGGTGTTTTGGGGTGCCTCGACAGCTGGCATCTTCATCTATCTGTCTACTGTCATTTCTCGCAGTTGGAAGGTCCATTTCGGATTTCTATAGTATCTCCCGGAATAGGTACCAGCGAAACAAACAGCGTTGGATTTGATGACTGAGCGTTAAAACAGCAAATACGAAGCCTCCTGTCATGTTATAAAATTGTAGATTATGCTAGCTTTAGTGTACCAATAATCTTAATTTTATTAATGACAGGAGGCAAGTATTTCCTGTCCATTCTTATCGCTCCCTTGTTTAATTTTAAGAGTTTGGGTTCATTAGGCATGTATGCAACTCTGCTTGTTGTCTCTGCTACCTGTTACTTGTTCTTATGTCTGTTTTTAATACGTAGGGTTGGGATATTTATATATTAAGGTATTTTGGTTACTACATTTGGTACCTACATGTTTGTTCAGAGTACATTTCATTGGCTAACCAACCTGTTCGATTCTGTTTTTTCTCTCGTTTTAGTTTACAGTCCATCAATGCTATCTGGTTTGGCAGTTCTTCTCGGATGGTGGACATTGTATTCATTGTATCTAGGACTTTGTTTCTTCCCCAATGTGTTTTTTGCCCTTTGTTCTGTTTTGTCGCAGCTTGAAAGAGGAAATGATGCATGGGGAGGGGAGATTTATAGTACCTAACTTTTTTCTGATTGGTTGTTTTTTCTGTGCTGCTGTGGAGTTCTAGTAAAGAGAGACTTAAGCAAATACTCGCCTCCTGTCATTAAGAAAATTAAGATCACAGGCACACTAAAGCTGGCATAATCTACAATTTCTCATATAACATTACGTATTACAGTTATTCTACTGCGCATGTCTAGCACGTCTTTTCTAACTGATGTACATGACAGTCTTTGATTTAGTAACCTAATTAAAATTTGCAGGTGGTTAGAAAGAATGTTATGTTTTCCAAGGGCAGGATGGTTATACAAAATAGTGGAAACTAGTGAAAGGCTCTCAACAGAAAAAATATAGTATGTTTAAAGAAAT